TGGAGAGGTTTCTGTCTGTAAAGGTGTCGGATTGTTATCAGCATCTAGGACGGACGCAATAGTATCTGTGACAGGGCGGTGACAGGGCGAATTAAACTATGGAAGTCAAAATTTGTATCAATATATTCTTTGAAAGACACATTTCGAAAATGTTCTATATCCATTCGATGCTCCCATACATACCGGAAAAATTAGTATTGCTTGATAGGTTGATATTCTCCCAAATCAGTCACTTGTTCCCATTGCGGCATCAGTTTCTCTATACACGTAGTGATGCGTCTTATGTTTCCCCTGCGAACAGATTTTCGTTATCTTTAGGCAATCGCCTTCTTCTGGCGTGTATTTGTCTCAACTGGCACACCCATGTCTCAGATAGGTATAGCTGATTTATCATCCAAGCATTTGAACACAATTAGAGTAAGTTGATCACTGCTTCATTCCTTAAAATTGCGCTGATGAGCCGTTCGGAATTGGGCGTCCCCATCTACCTACGACATGATATTGAATGAATTTCAATTTCACATTACGATGGTTTTGCGGGAAACAGGAAAGTTGTTTTTAGCCGTGAGAGGGGTTTTTTTTTGGTTTTGTTTGTTTTGTTTTGGTTTTGTTGTAAAACACAAAAAAAGCAAATATATTGCCTTATATGGCGCTATTAGATATCATTAAGGCGGGGTTTCCAGTTCTTTCTGACACGTCCCAGTTCACACGATAGTTGAGCGCAGACGCGCAGTAGCGCAGTAGAGCAACGAACCCTCAGAGAGTCTCCAGAGAGTCCCCAGAGAGTCTCCACAGAGAGGTTTTCCGTTTATAGTTTCCAAGTTAAAGTATTTAAATGTATTTATTCAGCAATGCTCAGTAACACTTTCGTATGCACGTGCACGTAATGGTTAACACGATAATGGCAATAACTCATCCCAAAACCTTGCCTAACCCCAACGCCTTTCAATGTAGTCACTGTAAAGTGTATTATACTGCATATTCTCATCATCTCAAGAGTCACCAACTGAAGCAGCATCCAGCACTGCCTCTTTACCACGCCATCATTGCGTCAAAGCCATATAAGTGCGAATACTGTGACTATGCAACTGGCACACCGAAGAATATAGACCAGCACAACAGGGTGTCGCACAGCTTCACTGCAAGTGAGCTGGCAGCCGTTCCCAAGTGTCCCTACTGTCCCTATCGCACTAATTATAACAGTAAAATGACCAAGCACTGCAATATCACGCACGCAGGTGAGCCAGATGTGCAAGCTAGGCTGGCCGCGCTCCCTAAGATATCTAAGAAAACACGTGGAGAACAATCTAGCTGGATTGATCCTTCTGCTATTCTGGATGATAAATCAGGTGTGCCTGCTAGCACACCAAAGTACCACACTAAGGACGACAAAACATCTGCGGCAGCGGTAGATGCAGACGTCGAAGAATATCCTCTGGTGCCAGAGTATGAGACCCCTAGTGTCATCACACCATGGGTTGGTATGTACTTAGCTCGACGTTTGGTACATTGGGGTGGACTGTTGCATGGTTTACTATGGCTGTTGTCTGAAGTATAACACACGTATTTGTGGTGTCGCAGATTAGGTACCAATCATAGTCAGCTATTCCGCGTTGGTTTGTGGTGGATTTTTCTTACTGTATATGTCTTCAAAGCAATCTTGCTAATGCATAGCGCAAGCGGTGGTATTCAACATTTACAGGTCGCATGATATTCTTTCAAGTGGACATCGGTCGCGCTATTTGTGAACTATTGATAGCAGCAAGTGACTATCACACTCACAGCCGATGGTTAGTGATTATACCCCTGCGTATCTTACAATGTTGAAGAGCGGTTCTCACGTTGCATTATGTTTTTCATGTCGGAGCACGTGTGCATTGTCGACTACATATGGTTGTCTTACTTTATAGTATACTTAGATTGTTATCTTGTGTGTGTATTCTGAAAGTGCCGTGTTTACATCGGAGCGTGTCAAGCATCGATTCTTGTGCATCACGCTGACGTGTTCTCTAAAATGTTTGTAACATCGTGTGCGACCGGCAGTTTTGAGTGTACTACCTAGCGCTGCAAAATATTGTCGATCCACGCATATCAGGATACCATGTAAATGGCGATTTCTCAAGTTGATAGATGCAATGTTGTAGGTGCCCTTGAGCCTTTGCTGTCTCTTTAGGCAATTTGAGAGAGCCATTTGTATCGTTGAACTTAATAAAAGCAATTATGAATGTTGCAAAACAACCGTCATTGTTGACTATAATTATATCAGTTCATGTACAAGAAAACTCAATCGTGACCTACCATATTTGATCACCTTGCTTCTGTTCTCGTATGCCACCGTGTTACAAACTCGCTTGTTTAAGAAATAATTTGCTAATCACACATGCAGCATTCCAGTCGGACATGTGATAGCATTGCAACCTATTCAGTTATAGTGTCTTGATATACATGAAGTATCTACAATAAGAGCGTACGAGTGAATCATTGGGGGTATTTATATGTAATCAACCGAGGAGAATGTCCCATGAGCCGCTATACGTCCCAATGCAGGCAATAATTCTCCGATGAGTCGGTCTACCTCGAATCGGCATATAGTGTTGATGGTCGTACGAAATTTAGCCAGAGCTTCGCAATTGCCTTATTCGTGGTCTATTCCTAACATGGTTAACTCGTGCTATATTCGCAAGTCGCCATGTTGCAGATTGGCGAGACGCGCTGGTGTGTGCTGTATCAATTCAATTACGATATAGACTCTCGAGTATATTTGCTCTGAAGGAGCACTGGTAGCAAGTACAAATATGGTGCAATGGTACTATCCTGCTGTTGTGAAACTTACAAGATGTGTGGGCTCAAGGGAAGTGGTGCTCAACAAACAGGCGTTTGTTTCCATACGACATAAAAAATATTGGGAACCTTTTCGTGCGTTTTGGCCTAGAGTAGCAAGCGTACATGCAGCACACGTGACCTTATGTATGACAAAGACTCATCTTCACATGGTTTTTGAATTGATGTGCAGATGTCAAGAAAACGTTCGGTGACATCGTGTCCAATAGGTTGGCTGAGTTATATTTTGCCTACAAAGACTGGAATGCATAAGTAATGTAAGCTGTCGTAAAGAGTTTGCAACGGGATTTACTCAGAGTTGTGACCTAAGATTCCTTTAAAAAACGCATTTGGGTGGAGAGGCGGTATATTCAAGTTCTTAAGTTGTGATTATTAGAGCATAGATACTCTAACTTTATCACCCATTTCCGGCTGAATGCAGTTGTCGATGGTGTTTTTTTCGCGGGGTGTGCTCACGGAGAGTATGAATGTACATATTTTTTTATGCACAATTACATGCACACCCTGTGCATGGTTATCAACCTAAGAATAATTACATGTGATGGCGAAAAATTCATGCCATAGCTAATGTGTGGCGACAGTATGAGTGGCTAAAGATGTGGTTTCCAGGTTCGAATGAGATTTTGTTGATTCATACCTGGACTATCTCTACACGATCACAAGGCGTTGTCAAAGAAATGAGCATGCTTGATATTCTTCGCTACAAATTGAAATGTCTTGCATTCATGAAGTTGTAGTCGGATGTTTGGTTGTACCTTTATCCTCACACCTTTTCCCTCTCTCTTCTCCACGAGTATTTCGCTCTGGAATTCGGTTTGCAATCAATCTCCTCGGCTATTTTGGCAAGGTGATTCCATCTGCATATGACACTTGAATCTACCTTCTAGCTAGAATCTGGTACCAGGTTTCCATTCAAGCGTCTCGATTATGTACAAAATAATTCTGATTAGGGCTCAAAACGGCGGCTGAAGCGATGCTATCTGTGCCAAACCTCCCCGTAATTCTCACTGACGACGAGTGCTTCCTATCCTCGGAGGAAGGTAAGTTTAGCCAAATTAGCATGCCTGGACGAGTAATCTGGTACTATTTGGCTTAGATTGTGTCTCAATCATATCAGAGTGCCGCGTTCGTTACCACACTGTTCTCTATTGATGCTAAACAAGGAACTCGTACACATGTTCATCTACTTTTTCTCAAAATAACTTATCGAGTAGCCATTATTAATTTGGGAACCCATAGGCAGCACTCCTTTGTTCTTGACAAGTCTCTCATATCGCATACTTAAAGGGTGAATTGAGGAAATCTCTCGCGAGCATTTGTAATGAGATAAAAGAACTGCATGTCCAAATCGTAGAGCACGATCTACGGCCTTCCTTAAGAGAACAACTAGTAGGTTGGTATACCCATGAATATGACGTATTAATGAGCATCGGACTGGGACTTTTTATATTTAGGCTAAGCGACATTCCTTGATAGCTTAGTGAAATATCCGTACTGGTTTAAAAATCGTTGATACTAACATGTTGATGATGGGCGTGATGCGAATGCCCATTGTTAAGGAAGGATACTCATTGTGCAGTATTTAAACTCACATTTTGGATATATTCAACCTGAATATGTACAAGTGTGCATGCGTGTCGCTGGCATGAACACTTACGCTTTTCAAAGTACTCGTTGTGTATTCATCATATAGAAATCTATCCTAGAAATATACGGCATACACAAGTTACAGAGTAAAACAGCTAGTCAGCTGGTAAGGGCATGACTCGAAGTGTATGCAAGTGGAGAGTATGTATGACTATAGGTAATCCCACTTCGTCATTAAAACCTAGACTGTAGCCAATTTTAGATGCACTCACAGCAATGCGTAGTGGTGACCGGACGCATCTAATACTAAACCGACCTCCATGCAGAAGCTACCAGAGCTTATTAGTAGAAAACGCAATCGTATATTTTATACATACGCACATGGTGTACAACCATCACCGCAACTCCCCACTAATTCTTGTACTTTTACACATATTTGTATATTTGTATGTGAATAACATATATGTATATTTGTATGTGAATGAACCCTACATAAATCATACTCGCCTACATATTTTGATATGCATATGGGTGAGTACACGTATGTAAATCTACATAAATATCTACGCAAAATGCACACAGAGGATGAAGAGTACGAGTGCGAGTTCTGCCACGGAGTTTTTGGCTCAAATCTGGAGCGAATGCTACACAAGCGCATGATACATCAGGTAGAAGTCACTCAGCAGATCATGCATCAGGCTGAGCTGGACTATGAACAAGCCCGTAAGTTTATACACCTGTGTTTGACAGACTTCTGCCAATAAAAACCGAGGCGCATACGTGTGGCCATGTATAGACTAATTTGGAAGTGTCTTTATTTAGTATCCGCTACAACACTATAACTGGTGTGCACTGTGTTGCTATTTCTCATGCATGGTGGGCAGTCTGGCATTGTGGTAAAGAAGTTTAGACAAAATATGGCTATTATGCATATTGCATACTGATTGTGATCTGCTGCGAAAGTTTTCGTATGCTACGAATAGTACGGCGTGATGTTTGATAGAGTTTTGTAGAACGTTCATCGACTCAAGAAAGCTAGGATGTGGTTGTTTTTGTTGTTGTTGCAAACCTATTAGTGTATTGTTGGTTGTATTTGTTCGGATGTGTGGTACAACCGCTGTGTGGATGAGTGTTCTTGGACGATCATTCAATTCAATTGATGCGAGTCCTTGGCTTCCAGGGAGGTATATCAGTTTATAAACAATAGTTACTGTATGGGGTTGCTGGCCGTAATGGCCAAGAGCATAGAACATTCACAGCCCAAAACTTCTTGTTTATTATATCTGACGACGGCATATGAAGTAGCCGGCGATATCATGCTCAAGTATATTGACAAATGTGTCACAGCATCTAATTTCTAGCTTTAAACAATATTAAAATATGTGCACCTCAGTGTTTGTCCGGGCAGTTTCACCGAACCCTCTTGCAACATACACTATCCAATGTTCAGCTATGTATGTCCCATTATGTACTTGGAATATTCAGAGGCAGGTGCGACCCAAACAAACGCTGCCGCTGCCGAAACAGATGTCACGAGTGAATCAGTGGAGGAGCCAGCCAACTTGGCTCTACCGCGTCTCGGGGCTGTTGTGCCGCCGGTGTCCTCCAGTGGTATGTAATTTGAATTTTGGAGTGATGGTAGAAATAGTAGACTACAGTGTGTACGACGAGAGTATTTCGTCGGTTTGTGGATTGAAGGCGTTGATTTGTTGCTATTAGGAAAGCTTGTGGGTCGAATGAGGTTGGCGCGTTGGGTATCTTTTTTCTATATATGTCTGTTGGGAAGCATTGAGCTGTATCTAGTTACACCACTTACAATATACGACACATACTACACAAGCACAGGTCCAAAATTCAATACTAAAGTTTTCCAAATTCTTGTTATTTGCATCTCTTTTTCCAACCACCTGAATTACTCTCTCTTTTCTCCTCGCTCACACAGACCCCCCAATGCCAGCCTGGATGGTCAATGCCGATGCACACCCAACCACTCACGCCGAACGACGAAGAGCTGAGCTGCTGGAACAGGTGTATCACATACATACTCTTAAAGTGTAAAAAGTAACAGTGGGATATTCGCAAGTATATGGCATCGTAAAATTACAATCCAACTACCAGTTTATTTACTGTAATAATATCTTAGAATTCTCATCTGTAATTTAGGTGTAGTTTGGCACTTCATTTGCCTCTATCACTGTTTTGAAATATTCTGATGTCTGTCGGTCCTACGGTTTGGTTCCGCGGCTATTTATCATCTCTTTGTGCTGATGAAGTCGATACCATCATCCATGCCATTATTTTAGCGAAGTATGATTGTAAGTGGGAAATTCGGAGCTGTATAGAGTCCATATATGTGTGAACCTCTTTCCTCGACATAATGCGTGGTCACTTATGTTTATATTGAAGAGGATAATTAATTAGTGGCTTAAAGTTTGGAGAATGTCCCCATGGTCACACCCGAACATACCTACAAATGTATGTTTTTTCAAGGGAAGTATTAATATCAGCTCCCTATGTATGTGCATATTTCAATGATCTTCCGTTAAACATTTTATCTATTTTGTATATACTACTTTGTATGCTATTAGTATCTTACAACATGAATATGCGTCTCTCTCTCCACAGGAGGTTATAATACGGAAATCTCAGATCGAACTGCAGGAGAACCGCGAGGTGTTGCGAGAGTTCGCCCAACTGGTAAGTTTGATTTGGCCTGTGCAACGGTACCAGCCGTGATAAAAGGTATTACCTATGAACTCATACTTGTCAAGCAACATAGCATAATAATTGTACATATTACATAATAATTGTACATATTTGTTCTTGGAGGCTAGTAAGAATGATCGCAGACCATTCATTGCGTTCGTGATTACCCAGTTTGCGTTGTTGCTGCATTGAAAGCATAAAATGAACTTTAGCGATTCCATTCCATCCATAATATATGCTATCTCCACTGGTATTATAATTCTAGCTGATATGTAGATAAATGATCAGTATTTACGAGCACAAATACAACCAACCAGTCATAGCAATATGCTGGAGGACCAAGAGCAAATACTTCAAGTAAAGGTGACCGTGAATTGATCTTTACAAGCAATGTATTGTAGTTCTTGTACCAATTTATGCACAGCCACCTTCACGTCGTAGAGCATATGCACTTGGTCTTCTATCATGTTGTTATGCACGGCTACCTATATGATTTGTGCCCGCAAAGACCGACCACAGCTACAGATTAGCGAAGATACAATATGCCTATCAAATTTGTACATGTAGCCAATGATGATTCATTTATATAATAAACCCAGCTAATCTGTAGGTATACTGCGTGCGCAAATCCTACAGGCAGCTGCGCATAATGACATGATGGAGGATCAAGTTTATATGCTCGAGGATATAAAGGTGGCGGTTAACAAATCCGTACAAGAAGTGGGTATGTCATCATAGTATGCTGTGCCTGCGATCAATCGACGTCACACTTGCTTAATTTACTACGAAATCTTGATTTTGATAAAAAACTGCGACATTAGTACACTCTATTCTATAGTGAAGATGTAGGAAGCAAGAAGGCTGATATCCGTATATCAAATACTCAATACATATGGGTGTCTGATGTGCGTATACCTGCAATAAGCACAGGTATACACGCATAGAACTACGCACACAGACGCGCACACATGCACATTCACATACATGTCTTTAGACTGTTGTACATATTAATATGCAAAACAATCGCGCCTGAATACAGCGAATGATATCGTCAAGACCACAGCAGTAACCATTAGCGAAGTGATGGCAGAAACTACGGCCAAGGCGGCAGCCGCTCTCCAGTTGAAAGACGAGCAATGTCACGCACAACTTGAAGCGTAAGTTTGACAGTTTGTGACTATAAATTCGTATATATATAAATACATATATATATATATATATATATATATATATATATATATATGTACATATATATATATACATACATATACATACACACACACACACACACACACACGCACACACACATATATATATATATAACTACGTATACATAGTTAGTGCTTTACCAGATTCATTGCAAGTAAAACGACGTGAAGTGACTGCTGGGGTCTTAGCAAAGCGAATTCCCCGCGCAATTATCAGTTGAGATAGGTTGCATGGTGAAACATACTATACTTATACATGACCGTACAAACTCCCAATGAACAATAGTCAAGAGAAGGAACGCGCAGAGCAAATTGTTGATAACGACAAGAAGGTAGAACAAGCAGCGGGAGCGGGCGTAGCAGGTATCGCGGAAGCGCGCGAGAAGGCCATTGCGGAAATCAATCGAGCAAAGACAGAGGCTGTGGTATGGTTGACGATTTAAGTTGTCGTTTTTATAGAATCTGGATATATTGTTGTATACTTGGTATTGCTATGACTGTGCGCATTTATAGTGTGTACGTTGGAGTATCCGGGAGAGTGTGACGTGTGTGTATATTGAGAGTCACGTACGTGTGAATTGTTTATTTCTGCTAAAGTAACTAGACTGATTTTCCTGCTTCGATACAATTACAGTGTCATTGCATTGCCTTTAGAACAATTCTATCTCCGAAATTTTCATGAAATTCTTTTGGTGTCATTGCGTCTACTATATTATGCCCTTTTACATATAACTATGCCATGTTACCAATAGGGTTAAAAATTACTCTATGTAGTCCAAATATCTTCGCAGGGGCATAATTTGATGTTGAATTACATACAGAGTGCCTATTCCTATTTGTCAGTCGATGTCGAGATTCATTATAGCACCCATCAATATTACTTTATATTTAATGTTCTCACAGGCAGAGCTGGGTGAGATGTTCTCGCGCATCGAGTTTATGATGCAGGTATGAGAATTGTGCAATGACAACTTTATGCTCAATTAAGTGCAACTTATGCGACTTGTGGTAGATTGTCCTGAGATTATCCATCGGGTTTGGAGCTTCGTATTTGTTTACGAAATGTTCGTGCTCAGCACACTTCTGGTCTTCACATGTGATATACTGCGTGTTTACACACATCGGATATCATAGTATTAAGATTTTTTTGGTCTACGTATGCCTGAGTGGAGGGTACTAATATCTGGTACATAGTGTTAGTTTGTATAGTAGTATGGAGATGGGTGCAGTTTTATGTAGTCGTGGGAGTGTTTATGTAGATAGTTATGATGGCTTGCAGCCTGTCACTATAAATGTTGCAATTACAAACAGTATAATTTATGATTAGAACTAAATGCGCGCAAACTTGTAGTCGTACGCAAACTTGTAGTCGTACGCAAACTTATTTGTGAGGAAAAATGCAATTGAATTGTTCGACCTCTAAATCAACGTGGGTAAATATATTGATCTATATATATTATCGATATAGGTGCACGTTGGTTTTACTACAGTGAGATATCTTAGCTACTGGTATATAACACAAGCTTGCATGAGTTAAAGTGCTCAAACGGATTCCCTAAACAGAAAACTCATTCGTCGTTCTTTCTATAAATAATCGGCTCTAAACATGTGTCCCGTGAGCACGTAAAGCACATACAATCGATGTTCAAGCTACTCTCTTCACCGCTACTATTCCATATTAGGTGCTATTAGACAGACTGCCTAGCAAAAACTACGGCGTAGCACCCGAGGCGTGTGACATGGAGAGTACGACAGGTATTTGAAGTGTTTCCTTTGGCTAATAGTTATCATACCTGAAAAGTACGGTTGTGCAACCGTCGAATAAGTTCACTCGCCATATTACAGGCACCAACAATACCTTTAAGCGTGATCCAGATATTATCACCTCGTTCTGTGCACCAGTTGCGATGCTGTCAACGAAATATTATCAGATGGCTTAGCACCAAATGAAAATCTACTCCTACAATATAGGTAT